CACGGCATTTGTTAGGGGTGTTCACGGTTATTTGATTCGAATTTTATTATTTTTTAAATTAATTAAATTTAATCGATTAATAAAATTTTTAAATTAATTTAATTTATTATCATATGATAATCAAATTAATCTAATTTAAATTGAATTAGTTTGATTTGATTAGATTGATTGATTTTTAACATTATTAAATATATAAGATAATGTAAAAATATTTTAACATCAAATAGAAAGCATAACTATAAAATACATTAATATCTAAATCAGTAAAAATATAATAAATGGTAAAAATTATAAACAAATTCTTATACTCCTTTACATTTGTAAAAATTGAAAAGTTATGAAAATTCTTTTTGGTTACATCACCAAAGGCACCAAAAACAATAAAAAATAACTTCAAATTTTTAGCACAACGTAAATAATTTTTTAAGATTAAAATTAATTTTTTTTTGTCTTAATACACTAATAATTTAATCTCATTTTCTAAATCATGTTAAAAGTGAATAACATTTAATATGAATATTACTAAAATTGATTAGAAGTATTCAAAATCAAAATTTAAAACTTTTAAACCAAATATTTAAAAATAGTTGAATATTAAAACTAATTTTATTATATAATTTTAAGGCTTTTAGAATGATATTTATTTAAAACTTAGTTAGGAAAATTATAAAATTATTTTAAGAATAAATTAGAAATTTAAGGTTTTAAGAGTAAAGACGCAAATCAGTTCTAAGATGATAGAGTTGTAGGTGAATTAAAAATTTAGAATTAAGGTTAGAGTGCATAATTAAAATGGAGAAATAATTTAGAGAATATGAAGATATTCTATTTTTATTTTTTTTAATTAAGTTAATGGAGTTATAATATTGTAAAATAAGAAAAAAAAAATTAAAATACTACAAAAAATATGTTATATTATTTAATTAAATTATCTTTTAATTAGATTTTATTTTATAATTGAGCAGTTCGAACGGTTTGAGAGTAAAATTACGAATTAAATTAATTATATCAGTTTTAAAATTTTAAAATTCAAATTAACTCAATTTTATATTAGTTTAGATCAATTTTTGATCGGATCGAATTAATCGATTTAGATTGGATATAAACACCCTAGTATTTATAAAGCCATTGACCCCTAAATGGGTCTACTAAACGTTCCAACGTTCCTTCTTAGAACTTTCCTTCCTGGGTTCAATCACAATTAAACATTGGTTGGCCGAAAAGAAAAGAAAAAAAAAGAGTAAACATTGGCAAAAAGAAAAAAAAAAAAAAGCAAAAATAACATACGGAATCCAATGGCTCAAAAAAAAAAGAGCCAAATAAAGCCATTGCCCCCTAAATGGATCTACCAAACGTTCCAACGTCCTTCTACGAACTTTCCTTCCTGGCTTGCCTGCACCGTATTTATAAAGCCATTGACCCCTAAATGGGTCTACAAAACGTTCCAACGTTCCTTCTTAGAACTTTCCTTCCTGGGTTCAACCACAATTAAACATTGGTTGGCCGAAAAGAAAAAAAAAAAAAGGTAAACATTGGCAAAACAAACAAAAAAAAAAAAGGAAGGGCA